GGATCGAACATTGTTTCGTTCTGCTGTGCATGGGGTCGCTATGAGTCGGTTCTGACTCGATGGCACCTGACAACAACAACTCATCCTACAGAGGCCCAGACTGATGGGTCCCCAGCACTATGCCAACCTCACCTCCCTCCACCCCATCCCGTCCACTCCCATCCTTGCCCTGTCCTGCCCAGTTTCCTGTCCTGGAATGGGCCAGCCTTCTGCCTAGCTCATGACCAATGCACTTGTAGCTCCTTTTGCTGAGACTGTTCTTTGCCCAGTCTCTTCTGCATCACTTAGATCTCAGTTCAAACACTGTCCCATCTGGAAGGCCTACAATGAATGACCACTCCCTTTCCCCTGTTTTTCTTCTACCCTATTTTATATCCTTCACTAAATCGATACCTGACACGACCTTATTTATTTGTTTAGGTACTTCTGGACCATCCTGCTACCCACCATTAAAATTGTGTTATAAGAACAGGAGCCATCGCCAGTGCCTACAATACATACATGGTGGGTAGAAGTTCACAATACATTCTCAATGACTGGTGTGGAGTTGTAGGATAAGCACTGAACTGCTAACTGTAAGGTCAGCAGTTCAAATCCTCTAGTTGTTCCTCGGAAATCAGATACAGGGTCGCTATGAGTCAGAACAGACTCAATGGCACTTACTTAACAACAACACTGGACTTTAGGCTTATTACCACTGGCTTCTGGGCTCAGTTTCCTCATCTGTCAAATGGGGCTACAATATGTGATTGTTGTTGTTGGAGGGTATGGAGCACAGAACCTACCCCATCACCAGAGCTTAAAAGAACAGTACTATTTGGCATTGCTGCTCCCATGCTGTGGTGGGAGCACCCTCTGCACTGCTCCCCAAGAGGCACCCCTCCATCTCTCCCATGGCCTCTTCTCTCCCACCTAACTCAGCTCACTTTTCGGAGTGCCACTCTGAACCAGCTTCTGTGAACATTATCTTGTTTCATCTCAAGGACAGTGACTTACTCCAAAGTAGGAACCATGTCCAGCACCCTGGGCCTATGGGAGCCTCCCAGGCCCGCTGCCGATGGACTCAGCAGTGGCCTGCCTGTACCAGTCAGAACAAGTGGGGTCCTCAGGAGGACCCAGCCCAAGCCCTTTCTGGTGTCTCTCAGTCCAGGCCAGACTCCAGAATCCAAAGTCCTGTGTGCCAAGCTCTGTGCTTGGGACCCTCACAGACATCACTGCCACCCGACCTAATACCACCTGTTCACAGATGAGGAAACGGAAGCTCGTCCAGTGTTCCCTGACTGGTGAGGTGTCTGGACGTGTGTGGAGTGGGACTCTTACCCGGTAGGCTGCCTTGAGGCCTCCATTATCGGCAATGTTCTCGCCCAGAGTGTGGTGACCGTTGACCGGCTCCCCGTTCACGCTGTAGTTACTGTACTGTTCCACCATGCACTCAGTCTGCTGCTTGAAAGCCTCCACTGAGGAATTCTTCCACCAGGGCCGGAGGTTCCCGTCCTTGTCGTACTCCCGGCCTGTGGGCCAGTGGACGCGGCAGGTTGAGGAGGTGATGGTGAAGCCAGGTCTGCTGCTTCCCATCTCTCCTCTCTCCTCCCTGTGAGAAGTGGGCTCACCTGCCTACTGACCCATCTACCCGCTGGGATGTGCCTATCTGCCTCAATAATGGAGGTGGTGCTGGGCCAGAAGACGGAGGACAGGCAGAGGGGCTGCATGTTCCGATATGAACCTTCAGATGGGAATTATTCTCAAGATGGACTAAGAGTCCCTGATCCAAGAACCAGTCATTGCAGCAGGCCACACTTAGGCCACAAGAAGAGCCCCAGCCTCACACAGCCCTGACTCTTCAATGGGAGAAGGTTCTGGATGCTAACTGCTGAGGGGAAGTCTCTGGAGTGGAGGACCAGTGTGCTCCCACTACCATGGGCTGACCACTCCTCCCAGGAGCAGGCTGCTTCATTACACATGTCACAGCCCCTCCCATCATCAATGAGCATTTCCAGGTACAGAGTAGGAGATGGAGACTTGGGGGAAATGGTGGACTTGCTCAAGTTTGCACAATTAGCAGATGGCAGAGCCAGGATTGGAATCTAGCTCTGTCTCCAATGATAAGCCCCTAGAGTGAAGGAGTACAAAGCTGAAGCAGTGGGGCCAGGATGTACCTACTCTGAAGGGGAACAAAGAGCCTGTACCTTGATCGTCAAAAGCATGCGTCAGCTCATGGCCCACGACGACACCAATGCCACCAAAGTTCAAGGCCCTGGAGGAGAGGAGCAGGATGGTGAGGGAAAGGCCTCCGACCCTCGCTGGCAGGCCTAGAGACATGGCTGAGTCCTGCAGAGCTCTAGGAAGACATGGTCTAGCCTGGGCCATCAGCCAGGTCCCTGAAGCCAGTCAGAGGCTGGGTGGAGTCAGCTGTGGCCAGCTGGTACCCAGCGGGCACCAAGCATGGTGTGAGATGCTCTACAGAACTGCACTGTCCTTGCCAGACATCCCCGATGCTGTAAATGAGTCAACTGAGGCTTGGGATGCTTCAACTGCTTTGTCCAAAGGCCACCCAGTAAACAGTCCTGGGGTTCAAACCGTGACATGGGAATTTCATTTCTGAGCTAGAGCTCTCACCCTTCCCCCTCCCTAGCTAAGACTGCCTTAAAATGATCAGAGAGGCATTTCTCCTACATCGGGCTTCTAACTCTGCAACACACCCCAAGCTTCCACTGTGCAGGTGCTCCAAGGTTCAACAGACTCTTGAAGGAAAAGGAAGGGAGCTAGGATGTTCATTTTCACTGCAACTTCACTGAAGATCACACGCTAATGAGGCCGCCAGGACAAAGGCACTCATTTAGACCTCCTCGGTTGTGTGGTCAGCTGAGCACCCTCCCAAGGGTGGGGGGTAAGTTACCCGAGGTAACTTACTTGGGTGAAGAGCGTGTGTAGAAGGGAGATTGCAGGATCCCGGCTGGAAACACAATCTCATTCTTGGTGGGTGAGTAGTAAGCATTCACCATGGGTGGGGTCATGCTCCACCTGCAAGGGACACAAGAGTGAACTCTCAGGCACAGCTGGTGAGAGGACAGGTGGGGACAATCCATCTGGAAGGCAGCTTGGTAATCAGAAAAGCCTTAGAAAGGTGGTTCCCATCTGTCTTGAGCACTGGCTTCTTTTCAACAGCTATCTACGTGGGACCAGTCTGACAACGGCATCTCTAAATGTGAGATCAGAAGCTTAGGGGCTGCGAGTTGATGTGAATAGGGGCAGAACAGTTTGGTAAAGGAGGATGAGAATGGCTGCACAACTTGAAAAATGAAATCAATGTCTCTGAATGGTATATAAGGAGCACTGGTAGCGTAGTGGTTACGAATCGGGCTGCGAACCTTAAGGTCAGCAGTTCAAAACTACCAGCTGTTCTGTGGGAGAAAGATGAGGCTTTCTGCTCCCGTAAAGATTTACAGCCTCGGAAACCCTGTACAGGGTCACTATGAGTCAGAACCGACTCCACGGCACATAACCACCACCAAATGGTATATATCGAAACATTGAGCTTGTGTGTGTTTTGATGTGTACATTTTCAACAATAGCAACAAAACCAGATTATTATTTTTTAAATGCAATTTCCCTTGACCCTAGGGCCCAACTATAAGGACACCCACAGCAACATAGTTTTTGAGAAATAAGAACTAGAAAAAATCTTCATGCCCATAAATACAAGACTGGTTAGATGAATATCATACCTACACAGTGGGATGCTCAGGCAAGGTGGACTATTACACACTGGTCATTAAGTCACCACTGTCTAGGCTCAAAATGTATCTCTTAGCAGTTCTTAAACAGTGGTCTATGGGCATCTTAGGGGCAGGGCTGAAGAGGGGACAACCAAGATCCATTCAGATGTCTGTGAGGCCACAACTATTTCCATAATATGAAAACCAAGGTTTCGAACTAGTTCTGCCCAGTTCATTCATGGCTGACAAAGTAACACCGGAACAGACCAGATTTTGTAAAATGTGCATGTAACAAAATAATAAACAGAATGAGAAAAATTAGACATCGATGCCCTGCTAGAAACTTAATCTCCCTCTTACAAAACAAGGGCAGCGTGTGCAAATGTCAACACAATGGAAAAGGCAAATCATGTTCTAATCAGGGCTTTAAACCAAATCAAATTGGTTCAGTCATGGCTGCCACAGTGAAATTGGAACAGACCCCAATATATAAAATATGGATGTGCTAGAGTGATAACCAGAATGGGAAACATTACAGACCAAAGCCCTGGAATGGGAGGCTGGGATGAGGCATGGTGAGCCTTTCCAGAGCCTGAGTGACTCAGGACATTGGATTATTGCCAGGACCATGGAGAGCAACACACATTCCAAGTGGAGTGGTTAGCCACCAAGTTTTGAGCAGGGCATCACTATTTCTAACTCTGGCAGTCAAGAGATTTGGTTGCTATGCAATGCACACACTCTCCTTGTTTGCTGAGAAATTTCAAGCCTCATATTTATATTCAGACAAGAAGCTTGGTGTGGCACTGCAGGTTAATGCACCGGACTGCAAGGTCAGTTTGAATCACAAGGTCGATGGTTCAAGCTCACCAGCTGCTTCTTGGAAACCCTGTAGAGTGTCGCTATGAGTCAGAACCGACTCTACAGCACTAACAATAACAACAAAGGTCCCACTAGTGGCTTTTTTTCCTAACTGGGTGTTGTTGAGCAGATTCTGACTCATAGGATTGTCTACGCTGGCATCTTTACAGAAGTAGATCACCAGGCCTGCAGGGCTGCTGGGTGGGTTCAAACAGCCAACCTTTTGGTTGGTAGCCAAGCAGTTAATTGTTGTGTCACTAAGGCTTCTTACATTAATAGTATCTACTGCTGTCTGGACTCCTGATGTAGTGCTGTTTGTTAAAGATGGGAAACAGGACACAAAGATGGTCAAATCACTGTTGTCCAGGAGGGGGCACCAGAGGCAAAGAGAACTTGCTTTGCCCTTTTGGTGCGCCTTCTCCTTCAAAAAGCTTTAGGAATAGAGAAAGCAGAGTCTGAAACTGTTTAAAAATATATCCTGCCTGTTACCCCAGACCTTCAATCAGAATAATGTAGGCTGAGACCTGGGGATCTGTTTTTGGTTTTTAAAGTTTCCCAAAAGGATTCCAGCGCTCAGTGAGAATTGGGAACCACATCTCTCAGGGACCCATCTTGAAACTTCTCCAGGCTACTGTGGGGAACCAATCCCTAAGAAGACATCACACTTGTTAGTGAGGAATTATGAGTAACTAGCCCTTGCTGAGTCCTAGTGTGGTGCTGTAGGAGAAAGCACTGGAGTGCTAACCAAAAGGTTGGCAGTTCAAACCCACCAGTTGCTCCTTGGAAACGCTATACAAGGTTGGTGTGAGTCAAAACTGACTTGACAGCAGTTAAAAAACAACAACAAAGCCCTTGCAGAGGCCCACCAAATTCTTTCATTTGGTGCTATAGAATAAGGACTGGACTGAAAGGTTGACTGAGCCACAAGGTTGGCAGTTCAAACTCACCAGCCACTCCTTGGAAACCCTATATAAGGTGGCTTTGAGTTGGAACCGACTCGATGGCACTTAACAACTACCACCACCATGACAAGACCCAAGACCCAGCTCCACCCATTCTCTTTTTCAGATAATGAAACCAAGACTCAGAATACTTTAGTCCTGGAGCTGGGATTTGATACCATGTCTGCTCATTGCCAGAAGTCAGGCCTGTGTCAGGGAGGCAGACTGATCCCAGCTCCATCATTTTTTTGGCAACACTTCTTTGTTCCTTCTTCTGAAAAGTAGGGATAGTAGTAGTATCCACCCTCCGGGGCTCTGATAGCAGTTCTATTAGGCACATGACAAGTGCCTGATAAATGTGTGCCCCACCCAGAGCACCCCATGTGCTGGGAGCCAGCACCTTCCCAGAGAAGCCCGGGAGGACTCACTGATCTCGGTTGGGAGCTTTCCTGAGTTGGTCAGCCGTGACCCTCCATGAGAAGTTGAAGAAGCGCATGGCATTCTCAAAGTAGAGGTCTGGGATGGCAGTGTACTGGAAAGAGAAAGTAGTCACAGGATTAGAAGGCACAGGAGGGCCTCTAGTGTTGTTGTTGTTAAGTGATGTTGAGTTGGTTCCAACTCATAGTGACCTTGTACAGAAGGCGTGGGGAACATCTGGGTGGGGAAATCATTTGGTCTGGCCCTGCCAAGACAACCACAGTTCCCATCATCACATTGTTAGTTGTTAAATGCTGTCGAGTCAGTTCCAACTCATAGCGACCCAATATAGGGTTTCCAAGGAGCGGCAGGTGAGTGTGAACCACCGACCTTGCAGTCTAGCGTGTATGTTGCAGCACCACATCAGTGTAAACCCCTCCTTCTAAAAATGAGGAAACTGAAACCATGAGAGCTTCACAGATTGGCTCTCAGGTTAGAGACTAGAGGGAGGGCTTGCCCTGGGTTGCAAGCTTTGACTGTTTCCTTGGCCTTCATCCTGATAAGGCCTGGCACTAATTCTCCGCTTCAAGCACACACTAGAATATCATGGAACTCCTGACTATATCATAACTCCAGGCTAGCTGACCTCCCTCCCCCCAGAATGCCTGGGCTTTAAGCAAGAAATGATTCCACTGTTGCCCAATAGAAGCTCTCCCGAAATAGAAATGCTCTGTATCTATACTCTCCTAAATAGTAGGCACTGTTGGAGAAGAATACTGAATATACCATGGGCTGCTAGAAGAACCAACGAACCTGTCTTGGAAGAAGTACAGCCAGAATGCTACTTGTAAGCGAGGATGGTGAGACTTTGTCTCACGTACTTTAGACATGTTATCAGGAGGGGCCAGGCACTGAGAGATGGATGTGGTGCCTGGTATACTAGAGGGTCGGTGAAAAAGCGGAGACCTTTACCCTCAATGAGATGGGCTGACACAATGGCTGCAACCGTGGACTGAAGCACAGCAGTGATTGTGAGGATGGTGTAGGATTGGGCAGCGTTTTGTTTAGTTGTTGAGTCACTATGAGTTGGAACTGACCTCCCAGCACCTAACAACAAGCCACATGTGCCTATTGAGAATTGCAAATGTGAGCAGTGTGACGAACTGGAATTTTAATTTTATTTACTTTCAAATTTAAGTGACTTGAAGGCACATAATGGCTGATGGCTACCACACCAAATAGTAAAGATCTAATCAATGAAGGCCAGGGATTCGATATGGCCATAGCATTCTGGTATGGCGCTGCAGGCTAATGCACTGGATTGCAAAGTCAGTTTGAACCACAAGGTCAGTGGTTCAAGCTCACCAGTCGCTCCCTGGAAATTATGAGTCATTATGCGTTGGAACCGGAACCAGTCGCTATGAGTCGGAACAACAATATGTATATATGTATGTATATATATGTGTGCGTGTTTTAATTTGCAATTTTTAAAATGTAGCAGGCAGAACTGGAAAAGATTGAAAGGTTTGAACTCACAAATTTCAATCACAAGAAGCTATAAAACTTTATCTTCTGAGGCAGAAGCCTAACCCATTTAAATGAGTGATTGGCCCGGAGTTCTAACTAGCAAGGATGTATCACATACCCTTGTTTCCTAAATTAGCTTAAAAATACATTTGGGATCTATGTTTCCTTTTCCCATTAGCATTACAAGGTCAAAGTCAGAGGCACAAGTTTCTTTGGGGAAGGACCTCAAAGATATGAGGCAATTCTAGGGGCAGGAAAAGAGAATGGCGTATTAGCAATTTCACCTTTCATTACTAAGTTTCAGGGGTACCAGTTCCCTCGGCACCTCTAGGATTGGTACCCCCACGGAGCTGGCCATTTTCAGAGGACACTCAGCACAGGCCGATTGCTGGGCACCACCCAATGGTGGCTCTGGCGAGGGAGGGGCCTCAGCAGGCCCAGGAGAGGAAGGAGCTGTCCCCACACCACCTGGTCATATCTCAACTACAATCATCTCAGAATATTGCAACAGCCTCGCTGCCTTCAAGACCCATTCAGACCCAGCCCTGCCTCTACCCTTTTCCAAGTGGGGACTCCCAGGGACATTTGGGGATGCAAAGAGGCCATAGAACCACTCACATCATTGAACACTTTGTCCAGCTCCTTGGGGTCCATGATGAAGTTGGGGTATCCTATCATGTTGTAGATTGCATCCGCCTGGGAAGGAGAGACAGTGAGCACACTGAGAGGTAAGCCCCACAGCCCTGGTCCCGCCTAAGGGTGTTGGGCTCAGGGTCTGGGTCAAGGGTACCCAGGAACCAAGCGCCTCCTGCCCCAGGGATTTCAGATCTTTTTGGATGACTCCCCCTTTGGCTAACTACTCCCCCTTTTGGCTCTCTGCTTAAATGTCACTTCCAGAGAAGAGCCTGCCCTGACCACCACTGTACCTCACCGCCTGCTACACATGCGATTCCCTGCACCCCTCTCACAAAACACGCTGCCACAGTGTGTTTTTATACGGATGTCAAGTGCAATCACATGTCATGGGCTGTCCCTCCATTCTGCTAAACAGCTCGCCCCATACACCCAGTCCCTCCTTCGTCCACTGTGACGCCTGCAAGCACCTGTCCAGCCTCACCTTTTCCCTGGCCGACTTCCGAGTGTCTTCATCCATCCACTTGAGTGTGCTCAGACTTTCCTCAAATGCCTTCTTGATTTCCAAGATGATCTCGCTGGCCTAAGGAGACAGATGTTGCACCAGTAAGGCCTGGGTACTGGAATCACCTAAATACAGTGATGCACCAGGAAGAGAGATTCTGCGGGGCAGAGACTAAACTCAGGTTGTGACTGAAAGCCTTGGACTTCTAGTTCTGAGTTCCCCAGAACACTAACATCCTGAGAGACGTCTCCAGAAACAGGGCTCCATGATCAAGGAAGCCTGGAAAAAGATCTGGACAAATTCACAAAGTTTCTTCACTAAATGACTTCTCAGAGCCTCTCGTGTGGTCATAGGCACTGGGATTCTTTTGGAAAGAAAATGCAAAGCCTTCCCCAAAGTTACTGGATCACAGAACTCCTTTGTGATGGAATGGGCTTCAAAATCTAGATATAAATGGCTGCAAACCTGGAGGCAGAAAGTTCTAGAAGGGACGGCAGTCATGCACCAGAAAGAGTAGAGGGGATGATTCAGTCTAACACCTCGACTCCAATTCTGTCTCAATTACTAACTGGCAAGTCACTTACTGTATCTGAGTCCCAATTCAATGATTTTCAACATCACATAATAGTAATGTAATCACTATTATTAGAAATAAAAGCCGTAATAATAATATAATAACTACCTTTTATTAATCCTTCTTTTGTGCCAGGCGCTCACTAAATACTATGTGCAGTATTTCATTTACTTTTCCTCTAACATGGGATCAGCACCTTCAGGTTACAGAGAGGTGAGAATCCTGGTCCTAAGTCACCTCACCAGGTCTGAGTGTGGGTCTGGCTGTCTCCGTAGAACTTAGCCGCGATGTACCTCTGTCTCTTTAGAACAAGCCTATCACTTGCAGAATAAGAAAACCGTCAGCCCCGGAGCCAGAGCTGGGTCCTCACCACACTTCCTGGAGGTGGAAAAGGCCGTAGCAACCTCAGAGGGTTGCTGTGAGGGTCCAATGAGGAACTCCAATAAAGTGCCGGTCATACATTAACAACACCTATTACAATAACTCCCGTTATTCAGGGCTTGAGACAGTAGGACCATGGAGTTCAGGTGGAGCTCCAGGGCTGTCTGGTCTGGCATTGGAAGAGTCCAGAGCAGATGGGTTGTCTAGCCAATGAGAGGCCATTACAACCCCTCAGTGTCCTCGGGAAGATACTTACTATGTTTTTGCTGTCCTCGGCAAAGGTCGCTTTGACAAACATAGGGCCCAGGGCAAAGCCCAGATTGTTTTCTGTGTCACTCACACAAAACTTCCACCGAGGCAGGCAGGTCTGGAAAGCACAGGGGGAGGGTTACTCAGCCCCCATCCTCCTTCTTCCCAATCCCTTTCTGTTTGAGAAGTAGCACAACCTTGAGCCCAGGAGTCCTTCCAGAATCACAGAGAGCCCTTTGTGGACCCAGTGGAAGTCATTTCATATAATGAACCAAGAGGCCATGAGACAGCCTTCATCACTATGTACCATGCCCACAGACATGCTTTGTATTTGAACTCACAACCTCTCATGGAGCTAACAAGATGACCCAGGAGGCAGGGACAAACGACCAAACAAAAACTCAGAAAGAGGAAGTCACTAGTCCAGGGTTCCTGAGAAAGCAAGAGGTGTTGTTTGGACTGGAACTCAGATACTCGGCTCCATACTCCATGCTTTCAACTTGTGCTCTCCTACTTCGTAGCGGAGCCTAGAATCCAGGAAGTGGAGAATGTTGGCAAGTGACTTGTCAACCTTTCCAGGACGGCCAGGAGCCCCGCCCTCTCTTAAAGCTGTAGGATTTCAAAGTAAGTTTTTGTCTCTAGCTCACAGGATGCCTGTGTGTGAATGGGACCCAGGTGTCACTGTGGCTATGATCTCATGGAGCATCCCGGGACGCAGTCTGTAGGACCACGCGTGGTGGCCCTGTGCACACAAATCCTTGAACTGCAGTGGAACCCTTGTCCTAAACCCAAAAAACCATGGCTCAGGGCAGCCTGACTCATTACAGCTTCCAAGCTGAAGGGAACCCAGATGCCCACCAGTAGGCAGATGAATCAGCACAATGTGTTTTCATACAACAGCATACTACTCTTTGGCAACAACAAGGAACCAACGACGGATGAGCAGCAATATGAGTAACTACCACAGGCATTATGCCAAGCACAAGAAGAGACACACGAGAGTCCAGCATATATATGACTCACACAAGGTTGTCTGTTCAACTCCACCAACTGCTCCTTGGAAACCCTATACACAGTTGCTAGGAGTCAGAACTTTACAGCAATGACTCTAGGTGGGAATCCCTAGAAAAGGGCATGCTGGGACCTTCTGCTCAGAGAACCCTGGATAAATGAGTGATGGGGCTGTTCTTGATCTTGGCTGGGTGGTTATTACAGCAGGGGTGGGTACAGCTGTCAAAACTCATTGAACTGAATGTTTTATGTGTACAGTGTATTTTGTATGTAAATTATACTTCAAGTAAAAAATTTCTTCTTGGCAGACAGGTAGGAAGAAAGGAACAAAGGGTGGGGGTGGGGCAGGAGGACCTCACTCTGTCCTTCTCTGAATTTAGTTGTCCAGTTCTTTCAAACTTTCCTGACCACATGTTCACCTGGATGCCATTCTCCCGTTGACCTCCCCTTCCTCAGCTGGGAAGTCCACAGCTGGACATATAGGCTGAGGCTGTGACCAGAATACTCTTGGCTCTGTGAAGGTTCCAGACTATGATGGCTGAATCACAGACAGATTCTTATTTGCTGTCTTCTCAGGATTCTTTGGACAAACCCACTCATTCCTGCATGTGCTCACTCATGAACTTACTCAGCATTCTCTGATAAGGACTTTTGTACACTGACTATGCTACATCTTTGGAATCTAGAGATGACTTGTCCAAGAGCCTTGCCCGCCATGACACCTGACCAATGCACGTCATGTATAGCCATTACCCATCTGTCGCTGGAGGCTTGTCTGTTTCTCTGATGCTGAACAGGTTTTGCGGGAGCTTCCACACCATCATAGGCTAGAAAGAAAAGCCCGGTGATCTACTTCTGAAAACTAGCCTATTGAAAACATCGTGGATCAATCCGCAACCGATCCTGGGTGGGGAGGATGCAGAATATTTATAGTAACAACCACAGCAGTCATTAAGGAGCTCTGGTAGCGTAGTGGTTACAAATCGGGCTGCGAACTGCAAGGTCAGCAGTTTGAAACTACCACCTGTTCTGCGAGAGAAAGATAAGGCTTTCTGCTCCCATACAGATTTACAGCCTTGGAAACCCTGTACAGGGTTGTTATGAGTGGGAACTGACTCCACGGCACATAACAACAGCAGTCATTATAAAAACAAAAACCAGGTGCTACTGAGTTGATTCTGACTAACGATGACTCGATGTATGTCAGAGGACAGTATTCCACAGGGTTTGCAAAGGCAGAGTAGATCGCTGAGTGTTTCTTCTCAGACAACTCTGGGTGGACTTAAACCTTGTAGTTAGTGGCTGAGCGTGTTAACCGTACCACCCAGAGGCTCTGAAGTAATCACTGTTGCTGCGTGCTATGGGGTCACTTTTGACTCATCACAACCTATGTGACAGAGTAGAGCTGCCTAATGGGGTTTCCTGCTGTAACGTTTATGGAAACAGAGCTTCAGGTATTTATCCCACAAACCGGCAGGATAGGTTCACACTGTCAAATTTTGGGTTAGCAGTTAAGTGTGCTAATGAGTTGTACCCCTCAGGGACAACTGTATCATGTTTGTTGATTGTGTGACATATGTCATTCCATTTAACCCTCAATCTTAATTCCATGGGACAGACACTCATTTCAGCCCATTTTTATAGATAAAGGAATGGGTGTACAGAGAAGTTGAGGTACTTGCCCAATGGGGTCATGTAGTGATTAAGTGGCTGAGGTGGGATTTGAATCCAGGCAGTTTGGTTCCAATGTCTTCCCTCAAAGTGGCCCCACTGACTGCCAACAGTCATGACATGCATGGAAGGGCTACGGAGGGAAGGGTCAGGTCACCCTGACAGACTCCGGAAGTCTCAGAATGACAAGGAGCAGCAGTTAGCCGTCTGAACTGGCTGTATTCCCACCTCTCCAACCCCGGCCCTTTTCTTCATTGCAGAACAAGAGCACTAGGCGAGGAGGAAGAGAGCAGTTTGCCAGTTGGGGAGGGGGGTGTCTTCCTCCCTGCAGAACTCTCAAATCCTCCATGGATAATAACAGCTGCGGGACAGCTGGTGAGGAGTGCTTCAGCATGCAGAACAGACTTTACAGGGATTTCCGCCTCATTCCATCAATTACTTACTGCGTTTTACTGATGAGAAGACTGAAGTGTCCTCCTAGCCCTCAGGCAAGTGACTTGCCTAAGATTGTGTGGTTAAAAATGAGCATCATCCCGGAGTCAGGTCTCTGGACCCAAAGTTCAACACTGTTCTTATGCCCCATGGATGGATAACTGTCCACTCCACACTGTTTTACAAATTCAAGGGTTTTTTTCAAACAGCGGTTATTCATGAGGGTCCTGGGACGTGAGGTAGTCAGGGATTACACCAAATGACATATGAGAGAAATCACATGCAGAGAGGGTCACAGACTAGCCCACGATCACAGGTAGGACGTGACTTTGAGTTCTTTGCAGGACACGAGCAGGATGGGTCTAGTCTGGGCCCAGAAGCAGCCGTGAAGGGGATGGAGGGGGGCTGGGGAATAAAATATGGGAGCAGCATGCTTTGCCCCTCAGCCCTGCATATCCAGCGAAGCATGACCATCGCCCCTGCTGAGACCTTCTGTACCTCACTCACTCCCAGTGCCGCACGGGCTAGAGGGGGATGCTCCGCACTTTGAATCTGTCTGATTTTTCTGTTGTTTTTTTATTGCAAGCTCCTGCAGAGCAATCTGATAAGCATGGGCTGTGGATTCCGACATGCCAGGATGTGAGAAGCAGCTCTCTGCTTCTGAGCTGTGTCCCTTTACCTCATCTCTCCTCAGTTTCCTCATCTGTAAAATGGGGGGATGACCACTGCTTCTAACATACAGAGCTGTTGTCAGGATTTGGTGAGAGAATACCTAAAAAAGGCCAACATCCTAGAATGATATCTTTTATTATTATCATTACTAGTGAATGGCTGACTGTGCACAGAGGTCAGACAGACCTGGGTTTGATGATTTAGGAAAGTTGGCTGGTTACTTAAGAAAATGCCTTTACTTCTCTGATCCTCTCTGGTCTGTGACTCCAGAGGATTGGTGAGTCCCAGGCACATAGTGACCTATCTCTAGAACTATCATCCTGGGCCCTGATTAGAGTCTTTCCTTATAAAGACCCCTGGGAGACCATGCAGTAGTCACGTCTGTGACCCAGGCCTGGTGGAAGGTAGGTGCAGGTGGTGCAGGAAGGTGGGTCAGCTTGACAGTGATCCTGCCCCTTCCCCTTGTCCTTCTCTACAGGGCTGGGGCAACTCTAGTGGCCAAGTCTTGAGAAGCCCCATTTTTCAGGAGCAGGGCTTCCTCCAGCCACCCTCTGCTTCAGTCCTCTTCTTGCTAGTTGGTGGTGGTGGTGGCTGGAGTCGATTCTGATTTGTAGTGCCCCTATGTGTCCTTGCTGGGGTCTTACCAGCTGCTGTCGGGAGGCCAGAGAGAACTTCTGTGGGTGGGGGCAGAGTGTGGTGGCCAAGTCTGGCACCCCAGTCTCAACTGCTCTGTAGCTGGGCACCCTTAACCGTTTTACAGTGTGGTGGGTACCATTGACACACATAAGGACTGGTCAGTTCTGCCTCTGGACAAATGCGAACTCCTGAGGGTACCAGTCCTGTCTCCCTCATCTCAGTATTCCCACTGAGCTCTGAGTTTAGTGCATGGCAGCGGTTTGATTCAGTGATTAGCCTTTCACAGGCTGCATGAACAGAAAGAAGGGAGACAGCTACTCCTGTGGGGAGAAGTAAAAGGTGGCTGGGGAGCTCCTCGTGGCAGTGGGTTCCCTAGAGTATGGGAAAGAACGGGACTTCAGGGATTCTGGCGGGGACATATAACAGTGGATACAGCCTCTTGTCTAGGAGCTGGAACTTTGGCCACCCCAGAATGACTGAGGCTGACTGGGAAGATAATAACAGCAAAGTCTGATGCAGCGCTTATGGTGAATGAGGTATGGTCCTCAGCCCTTTATGTGTAGGGCAAAGAAACAAATTACTGGGGTCTGCTTTATACAATGAGGATAATAGCAGTGATCTCACAGGGGCAGTGAGGATTTAGTGAGTCACACTAGTGTTTAAGGATTGAATTACGTCCCCCAAATATGTGCTGCAAATCCTAACCCCTATTTCTGTGGACGTGATGCCATTTGGGAACAGTGTGTTCGCTGTTGCAGTCCTGAGGTCCTATCAGTGCTGGGTGTAGCTTACACCATCACTTCTGAGCCATGAAAGGGGCAGCTCAAGCACAGAAGCAGGGAAGACTGATGCCATGTGGAGACCACAAAGAACTGACAAGAGAAGCTGAAAGAGACAAGCAGTTCCCCCAGAGCCAGCACTCCACAGACTCTTGCCCTCCTAAATTGTGAGAAAATGTCTACACTCTTTAAAGATGCCACTTATGGTATTTGTTACCACAGTGCCAGGTAACTAGGACAACAAGGAACGTGCTTCTCACCATCACCACCAAGAGCACGTGCGAAGGAGAGAGCAGACTGAGTTACTAACATTTCTCTTTGCCCTTGAAGACTCACTCAACAAAGTCACCTGCTCCCAGAAGCCTCTGTGCTGGGTGGGATTATCATTGGTTCTCTCGCTCTCTTCCTGTCACAGGTCCGTCTCCCTGACGAGGTCCCCAGGAGAGCCTGGTACACAGTATGTGCTCAGCAGGTGTATGGGGACAGACAGTTACAGGCTTACCTTCTTGGTTCCATACATGACTTCCATGAACTTCTCATCAGCGTCCTGGAAGCGCTGGTCAAGGAAGGAGCTTGTTTTCCTCACCAGGTTCCAGATCATGTAGTTGTTTAGCAGGCTAAGGCAAGAGGGGACCAGAATGACAGAAATGGCAGTTAGAAACGTCATAACATTTCCCACACTGACCTCTAGGTGGCGCCCACACCAGACTTTCTGATCCCTGGTTCCTTCCCCTCCCCTCTGCAGTTTAACAGTCTGGGACTTCTACTGTGGAAAACATCTCAGTGTTAAAACACAGTGGTCTGCATACTGCAGGCGCTCAATAATGGCTTGTTATTTTGCTGCTTTTTGTTTGAAGCTGGGAGGCAGCATAGCATGGTGACTCACCCTGGATGGGGTTGGTAGTGGAGGAGTTAGGGTTACAGGGCTGGAGATACAAGAAGGCTGCCATTCTCACAGCATGGAGATGTCCCGGTCAGAGGCCAAAGCAGGTGAAGGGCACTTATGAGTAGTAGGAGCAGGGTAGGAAGCTCCTCCCTTACCCTCAGGGTCCAGGCAACCTATTTGTACTATTGTCATCTTTACAAAGATGTCCACTATAATGAAAATCTAGTTTCAAATGTGTAGGTTCAAATGTCATCCAAAATGCCTAGGACCGGAAGGGGTGAGTAAATTATTATATTTATACTCAATGGAATACCATGCAGGTATGAAAGATGATGTTTGGGATGAAGTGGGGAAAATGCTGCTGATGAAGGTTAATGAGAAAAGCAGAGTATACAATTGGATTTGAATGACAGGAGGAAAGAGAACCATGTATAAACAAACTTCTCCCTCTCCCACACATGCTCACTCTCTTAAATGTACACACAGAAACATATGCATACCCAAAGACCAACAGTAGGTTTTGGGTCATTTAAATTTTTTTCTGTAGTTTTCAAAATGTCTACAACAAGCTTTTGAAACTTTAAAAACAGTATTAACTATTAATGAAATAAAAAAATATTAGCTAACATTTACCATGACAGACTAGGAGAAGGAGAGACAGACTACTTCCAAATATTTAGTCACTGAAAACCTTATGAATAGCAGTGGAACACTGTCAGCACCAGAATATTGAATACTGAAACATGATGAAGAGTACCAGAATACTATCAGATAACAGTGCAGGAAGATGAGCTCCTCTGATTGGAAGACACTCAAAATACAACTGGGGAAGAGCTGCCTCCTCAAAGTAGAGTTGATCGTGATGATGTGAATGGAGTAAAGTCTTTGGGACCTTTATTTGCTGATGGGGCACAACTCAAAATGAAGAGAAATAGCTGTAAACATTCATTGAAAAAGAGATGGATTGGCACAGTGGCAGCAGCAATGGGCTCAAACGTAGCAACAATTGTGAGACTGGTGCTGGACCAGGCAGTGTTTTGTTCTGTTGTGCATAGGGTCCACGGCACATAACAACAACAACTCGATGGCATCTAACAACAACATTTACCGAATACCACCATGTGCCGGGCACTGTGCTGAACATGGATTATTTCACCTGATCCTCACAACCACCCTACATGGGGGATGCTACTTGTATCCTCACCTAGAAGGTGACGATGAAACTAAGAAAGGGTAACAAGCTTGTCTAAGGTTACAAAGCTGGTAAGCAAAGGAGCTAGGATCTGAACCTGTGCTTGTGACCATGAGGCACTGCTGCCTTTTATAAAACCCAACATGGTATGAGGGCCCATTTCCTTAGTCAATTTTCCGTAGCCCCCTGACCCTCCTGAGAGAGGCACACAGCAGTTGCTTACTAGATGCCCATCCCAGGCTGCATAGGGCCTCTTACCATTTATCTGTGTTTTTGATGAGGCTGGAGACCTGTTCAAGGTACTCTTTGTCGTAGACCACAATCGGCTCGGATTCATTGATCTCCACGGGGTAGAAGATGGTGTTGAGAAAGGGCAGCCAATTGACGGCAGGTGCCAGGGTCTGGAAGGAAAGACCACAGTGGATCTGGGCAGGTCTCCAGGACGTTCAGAAGAAAGGCATGACTGTCCCCTTCCATCCTTTGACAGTGGGTTGGGCTTTTTGTTGAGACAGCTAATCAAACAGAAGCTGACTGATTAATTGGAGATGCTGTAGACAAACTTCTATGGGAAGCAAAACCCGGCTTTTAACTTGGATTAGAACTAGGATGGGATTTGTTGTTGTTGTTAAGTGCTGTTAAGTCAGTTCCAACCCATAATGACCCTGTATAGGGTTTCCAGGAGCAGCCGGAGAGCTTGAACCGCTGACCTTGCAGTTCAAACCGACTTTATAGTCCTATGCATTAACCCACAGCATCATAGCAGGATGGGATAAGAAATTATATACCCAAAGCAGCAGCATGACCATTCGCCAAACCCCTTCTGCATGCCAAACACTACTGCCAATGACTCATTTTTCTCCCATCAGCACTCCATGCCCATGGAAGCAGTAGTCAAAAAATCAAACGACGTATCTCATTGGGCAGATCTGCTGCAAAAGACCTCTTCAAGGTGTTAAAGAGTGACCCCAAGGGTCACTTTGATGTCTGTGTGTGCTGATCCAAGCCATGGTATTTTTCAACCACCTCATATGCTTGTGGAGTCTTGGTGTGGTGTTGTGGGATAAGCACTGGACCGCAGGGTCTGTTTGAACCATAAGGTGGGCGGTTCAGACCCACTAGTCACTCCTCGGAAACCCTATACAGGGTAGCTATGAGTTGAAAGCGACTCGAAGGCACTTAACAACAACAATAACATATGCATGTGAAAGCTGGATAATAAGGAAGAATGAAGAAGAACCGATGCCTCTGAATTACGATGGTGAAAGTAGTGACTACACCATAGATTGTTGAAGAACAAACAATGCTGTCTCGAAAGAAGCAAAGCCAGAGGTAAGAATGATTAAACTTGGTTTCATGTACTTGGGAAATGTTATCAGGAGGGACAATCCCCTAGAGGGCATTGTGCTTGGTAAAGTAGAGGGTCAGCAAAAAAAAAAAGAAAGAAAGAAACAAAGAAAATTCTGGAGGAGATGGACCGACACAATGGCTGCAATGATAGGTTCAAATCTAGCAATGGCTGTGAGGATGGCACACAACTGGGTAGTATTTGGTTCTCTTATACATAGAGTCTCTGTGAGTCAGAACTGACTTGATTGGCTCCACATGACAGGCCTTGGAGGTCGATGCAATTATCCCCACTTTATTGATGAGAAGAGTCCTAGTGTGGCGCTGTGGGCTAATGCATCAGACTGTAAAGTCGTTTGAACTGCAAGGTCAGTGGTTCAAGCTCATCAGCTGCTCCTTGGAAACCCTATACAGGGTCACTATGGGTTGGAATCGACTTGATGGCACTTAACAACAGCACCACCACCAACAAAAGACTAAACCTCCAGCAGGTCTGTTATGGTCATGTGTGCAGAATCTGGAACCAAATTGTTTGGGCTCATATTCCAGTTGCTATTCTAGTTGTGTAACACAGAGCAAGTAAATGAACCTGGGAAGTCAACGAACAGTTAACCTGAGAGTCCTTGATATCTCATCTGTAAAATGGAGATAAATCATTATCATCATCATGGTGGCGGCGGTGGTCTGTGGAGTCAGTCCTGACTCACAGTGACCCTGCACAGGGTTTCCGAGGCTGTAAGTCTTTATGGGAACAGAAAGCCTCATCTTTCTCCTGAGGAATGGCTGGTAGTTTTGAACTGCCGACCTTGAGGTTAGCAGCCAGACTCATAACCATTACGATACCAGAGCTCCTATTATATACCAGTTAATGCTGACTAAACAGAAAATTTCAAAGATCAGATTGAGAAGACAAAACCAGGTACTATAATAAAATATGCAAAGATTTGGAACTAGAAAACCAAAAGGGAAGAACAC